AACCCTAATTTGATCAAATATTCTAAGTTGTTGACTCATTTTAGACAAAGGGAAGGTGTTATGCACCCATCATCTACCTTGTTCACAAGGATATTAGGGTTTAGGTTAAAGGTTTAGGAATAGGGTTTTAATTTTAATTAGGGGAACTCGCCACGGTTTTAAATCGTATGCCAATGTATGCTCTTATGAGGAATCAGATTCCCAATTCATAACTTGTAGTTGTTTGGTTAGTTTTTTTTTACGGATTATGGAAATATCTCGAATTCTCCTTGAACCAAGTCTGGGTCTGTAAATTGCGGAATTGTAGACGAAGTTCGCAGTCGATAAAAGAAATTTCTATAACTACTTTTGAAAATAAAATATATTTGAATTAGGTTAGTAAAAAAATAAGTTAGTATTTGATTGGTTAGATGTTTTCGAATAAAAGATGCAATATGAGAGAGAGAAAATATACTTCAATGCATGAGAAAAGAATTTAATGCAATTAGAGTATTTAAAAAGGAGGTTAGTATTTTAAACGAATTTTGATTAATAATTTATTAACCTATATGAGATATTTTAATATTGATCCAGTATTATTTGTTAAAATTTTGAAAATGCAAAAAATATAATTTAATGATAAATATATAATCAAACTTAACAAATTAATTAATTAATAAAAAATAAAGTAATTTTTATTCAAAAAACGCAGGGGGTGCAAATTATTCAGGCCTAGTAAAACTTAGGGGTGTGAATAACAGGACCCTAAATCCAGATATTGAATTTCGATCTAAAAAGTAGGGGAGGTGTGGATTTGAACTGAAGCAGTAATTGGGGGTGTAGGATAGTAAGGGCCCAAGTTCAGATGTTGGACCTGATCCATTAGCGCGGGAGGGTGCAAATTGGCGTTGGGTAGAAGAAAGTTAAGGTTCGGATCGAACAGGCCTCAGGCCCTGTATCTATTCAAAGGCCCAATACAAAGTTTTTAGTGCGCTTAGATTTGGTGTGGGTGAGTGCATAGCATTGCAGTGAGCACGCGATTTTAGGACGTCTGATTAAGATTATAAGGGTGTGATTGAGGGTGCATGGTAAGTGAAGCACACGGGGTCGCGAGGGAGTATAACCTTTTGTTTTCTTTTTCATTTTTTATTCATTTCTTCATTCCCTCTTCCTCTCAGTTTTTGTTTCTCTCTTCTCTCTCCAACAACAAAACCAAACACCGCTGAAACCCTAACAGTAGCGATGATCTTAAACCCCAAGCCCCCCCCCCCCCCCCACACACACACACACAAAAAAAATTCCACCCCTCAAACCCCCGATTTGCAACCCTAACCCCCAAATCATTCAACAGTTTAACGCACAAAAAATCAAAAACACAAAAGATTAGTGTTTCGTTAACTTCGATTTCGTGCTTTGTATTGTTTTTTTTCCGATCTCTCCTTATGATTCCCTTTCTTTCTTTTGATTTGTAGGTAACATTAAATGATGATGGTGGATCGAGTGGCGACGCGGCGAAGAAACTCTAGGGTTTCATATTTTGAAACCCTAAGTCTACATGAAGCGGTGATTCGTCTTAAGCTCACAGCGACGATGTTCTTCGTGCCCTCTTCTTTCAAGATCCTCATCCCATTCTTCTTAGAAGTTAGGGTTATTTATAGGTTAGGTTTTAGATAGATTAGGAAATTTTCATATAATTTCTATTACAAATCGTGATTGACAGTAGAATAGGAAATTATAAAATTAGGTTAGAAATTGATACGACTTTGTTGTAAATTAGGTTAGATTTGATTTGCATTTGAAGATTTGTAGATTCAATCTTAATTTTTTGTAAATATTTGATTCAATCGAGTTTCTGAAGATTCAGTGTGTGATTTGATTTTATTTGTAATTAAAGATTTGATTTTGATTTGCACAGTATCTGTTCTTGGGCTTTGGTTGTTGTTTAGTGGGGAAGAAGAACGAACAGGGTGCGCCTTTGGCGAGTGAAATTAGGGTTTCATCCCTATTTGGTTGACTCGGTCAACAATAATAATCAAAATAATAAATAAATAATATTAATAATAATATTAATAATTATTAAATTGATAATAATATAAATATTTACTAATAAAAATATAATAATAACAAAACTTGACTCAGTCAAGTTTAAAGAAAGACTAATCGGCCTTCAAAAGAAAAATTCTTGATGGGTTGTACGGAAAGAAATACACTGGGCCTTTGTACCAAAAATGGGCCCCTCTCCTTTATCAATTAGACCCTAATGGGCCATCAGTTTTTTTATGGTCCGTTAGCAAGACACCCTTTTTTATGTCAATACACCCCTTTTCTTTTTTTGCAAAACACAAGTCAATCCATAATGGACCATCAGATTTTGATGGCCCCAAAATACCATACCCCTATTTCATACAATGCACCTCCTCCTTCTTTAAGATGAGTCTGAACTTAATGGGTTGTTTCTAAAACAAAACTAAAGAACGAAAACTACACTCCTTTCTAGGGCCCTCAATTTGAACGAGAAAAATACACCCCCTTTTATAAATGGAACAAAAACTTAATGGACCATCAAATTTTGATGGTCCATTTTAAAGCAACACACCCCTCTTATGAATTTTGAATCCCCATTAAAATAAAGTCCAAAATAAGCAAATTGAAACGATAGAATTTTATAATTTTAGAAACACAGTAATAATATTGAAATATAAGTAAGATGATAATTGAAATCGACTAGAAAAATTTAGGGTATGACAATTTTCAATCTAATTTACCAGAACACAAGACTAAATTAGACGTTATCAACTCTAAATCTAGATGACACCCAAGTAAAGAATGATTATGTGTAATTTATTTGTGTGTGTGCATAGAAAGAGAAGTTGAAAATAAAGATAGTTTACTTTGTACGTTTATGGTTTCATTAAGTTTCAAATTATGCATGTATGAGATATATACATGTGTGTAAGTTGGAGACAAAAAGAAATGTAAATTTTTTTATAAAAAAAAACACAAAATTGGAAAACTTTAAAGCATGAATCGACATATGTAAGTCATATGTCGACACCTTCAAAGAATGAGTTAACATGTATAAATCATGTGCCAACACATACATTACAGAGCCTTGAGACTTTAAAATAAAGCCTTGAGACTTTAAAATAAAAAATGTATTATGATTTGGATGGTAAAATCTTGTGCAAAGTTTGATTATGGGTGTGTTTTCGAATCCTCCCTTCAACAGAAATATTATTTTATAAATTATTAGGCTTAATTGTAAAACTTTAAAAATAAAGGTAATATATTATAAAACTTTTAAAGTAAGATTAACCTAAATATAAAATAAAAAATGAGTTAGAATAATTCAATGTTATCTTGACAAAGACTAGTAAGTCAAGTGAAATGAGTGTTATATCATTAAAAAAATTGCTCTTAATTTTGAAGGGAGATTAAAATTCTCAAAAAAAGAAAAATAAATAAACTAAAGAAGTAAATATATAAAATGGGGGACCAACACAAAATAATAATAATAATAATCATAATAATAATAATTATTATTATTATTATAATAATAATAATAATAATAATAATAATAATAATAATAATAATAATAATAATAATAATAATAATAATAATAATAATAATAATAATAATAATAATAATAATAATAATAATAATAATGATAATCATAATAATTATTATAATAATAATAATCATAATCATAATAATAATAATAATAATAATAATAATATTATTATTATTATTATTAATAATAATCATAATAATAATAATAATCATAATAATCATAATAATAATAATAATAATAATAATAATAATAATAATAATAATAATAATAATAATAATAATAATAATAATAATAATAATAATAATAATAATAATAATAATAATAATATTATTATTATTATTATTATTATTATTGTTATTATTATTATAATAGGGGAATAAAAATTACAATTAAGCCAATTTTTTTTACTCAAACAAAACTATTCAATTGATGTTAAATATTTAATCTTAACATATATTTCCTTTTTTTCAAAAACAATCCAAATATAATTGTAGAATTGCATTGCCGTGCCCGCGTAGGTTAAGCGTGAAGCTGTAGTACAACTTCTTCCTCTTTATTCAAAGTAGTACAACTAATTTATCTTCTTTGATTTGCATCGAAATCGGAAGTACAAATGTACAATGTTGTACTCTTGCATAGCAAGATGAAATTCATTTCCAAGACAAGTACTTTGGTTTAGTGTAGTACATCTAAAAACTACACAAGTACACCATGTTTGAGGCTATATATCGATTGATTTAAGAACACAAAATTCATCACATTAAAACAAAAGTAATTAAATTCAGGTAACAAGATATTAAGGTAGAGAGGTTCCACGGGGTCGACCTTAGAATACATGATATCGTTTAAATTTGTGCTAAATCCGTCTTACTCATGTGTTCTCAGGTCGCCCCTGCTGAACTTTCTTTAAGCCCAAGTATTTGATGGAAGGTTAATTAAAAGGTAAAATGTGTTAGTTCAATTATATATTCATTATCATGCATTCATTATTGATTTTAGATATTGAAGAAATATAGTGGTCAAAGCTTTTTCTAAACCTAGTTTGATGAATAGGTTAGATATATTTTTCTCTTGGACTAATTTGTTCCCCTTTTTGGTTGTAACCTTTTCATTCAAAAAAAAATTGAAAATAGGCAATATCAGTGTTTGGTAGAAATCATAGTCAGTACTAAAATTAATCAATTACTAGATTTGTTCGACTTATTTTATAAGCAGTATATTCAAGTTGAAGTTCATGCTAGTTCAAGTAATATCCTTGTAATAAGGCATTATTGCAAAAAGTCGTTTTTTAAATTTGAATACATGATTCATGTTGATAAAATGGATCCATTGCTACTACACCAAACAAGTAGACATCATGAATGTTCCAATTAAAAATTCGTGCTCCTGGATACATGAAGTCATACTAAAACATAGACAGAAAGTGAATGGAACACAAAATTGGTTTAACATGCTGCAGCAGAATCATTACTATACAAGGAAAATCTATCTCACCATTGCTGAACAGCATCAGGTAGTCAATTGGAGGAAGTTATGGTATGGCAACATGGCGAGGCCGAGAGCTCTTTGCACCCTTTGGATGGCTTGTCAGAATCATCTAGCTACGAAAGAAAGACTTCAAAGGTTTGGTATTATTGATAATGATGAGTGCTGCTTTTGCAAGGAAAAAGAAACAGTTCGCCATCTTCTTTTTGCTTGTCCAAGGCTGAAAAAAGTTTGGATTCATGTCCTCAACTGGCTTGCAAGTGAAGCACAATCCGTTGAGTTGGAACGAGGAGCTTGAGGAGCTTGCATGGATTACAGAGAGCAGCAACGGCAAAGGTTACAAAGCTGATATGCTTAAATCTGCCGCAGCGGAAACCGTCTATGAAATCTAGAGGTTTGGAAATGATCATTGTTTTGGTGAGAATAGGAATAGTGATGAACTAGGCCTTACATTGTTGATGTTATTGTGTCCAGAACTTGGATGAAACCCAAGCTTAAACCGCATATCAGTAGGCTAATGTTGCCGTAGGCTTCTTTTCGCTGTTATTGGTGGCTGGGTCGAAGGATCGCCTGTGTGTATTGGTTTTGGTTTAATATAATTCTTTATCTCATTCCAAAAACAAACAAACAATTGAATACATGATTAAAGCACAAATGTTAAATTAACAATTCACATTTAACTATTGTTGATAAACTTCACTTGTAACCTTTAACCAGGGTTGAATGATCATATAATTTCATAAGAGAATATATATATAACTCAAACAGGCATGAAACCCCTATCCTATAAATAGGCATCATAACCACGACCTAATAAATTAAGCATAAGAAGAAAAAAGCTTTATAAATAGTTGAAGTGAACATCAGAATCAAAACTTGAAATGGACTAAGCTAAGAACTAACTATCAATCAAATTAAAATTCTCACAGAAGACTGAATGGCTAGTAGCTCTTCCTCCTTTATTCTCTTCCAGATCCCACCTACCATAAGGTATCCGTTTGCCTCTTCTGTTGGAAATTCATCGTCTTCCATTGGAGATTCATCGTTGAATTCGCCAAATTCTTCGGTTTCCCTCATCTTCTTAACAGCTGAGTTATCGAGCAGCTGAAGGTCTGAAGGGGCGTCTCGTTTGGCACCGTGCTTGATCAATCTCCAATTATCTTTCCTATCTAATACTTCAGTTTGTTTTTCTTTATCGGTAACATCAAGAACAGTTTCATTGTTGATAACATCAAGAACGGGAAGGCAACCGGATGAACCAACAGCACGAGGCAACATGCCAATCGGACATGGGTTCCATGACTTTGCCAAAGTCCATACATGTGATTCTTCGGTCTCGCAATCCATTTCATTTGACTTCTTATTTCTCACAACCTGTTGTTTAACTAACTCGAGCTTTTTATATGCTTCACGTATGGATTCCTCGAATTGGGAAATATTTGTCGAATTCAATAAAGAGCTTTGATCATCTGCATTGTCAAAAACGTTGGATGAAGCAAGACCAGAGAGCAATTGAACTTTCTTCAACAAAGATATATCATCCATCAGTTCTGCGAGGTGAAGGGCTGAATCCGTGACCTGCTTGTTGCAAAGATGTGATATTAGAAGACATTTACGAACAAGTTCGTGCAAAACATTCTTTGACATATTTGCTGTTGCGGAAGGTTTTTTGCAGAGAATTCGAACAAGCCATGCAAACAAAGAAGAAAGATAAGAACTTCGATGAAACTCTTCCCTTGAGTTTGAAATCCCAATACCTGGGTAATCTGCAAAACAGCACAATATAAGAACAAAAAAGAAGAAACTAAGGATAGAAAAGTCCTACAAAAACATTATCATTAGTAGGGCCATACAAAAGCCGAGAAAGTGCATTAAAGGAGTGGTGCCTACCTTCTCCACACTTCATATCTGCCTGAGTTTCAATCATATGAAGAACTTCCTTAATGAGGTTCAGAAGTAATTCTGGCTCCTTATTATACAATTTGAGGATGATAGGCTTCCAATCAGCCAAAACATTCTCTATGCTAGGACCAACACAAGCATCATCTACATTCTTTTTGAACTCTGAGGAACTTAAACTTTTCAACAAATAATTCAGCAACACCGATACAATCTCTGAAGAGAAGGAGGAATATAACCGTAGAACAGATTTTAAGATCTTTGTAATCTGTTTCTTGGGACCTGAAAGAAACAACCAATGATTTATAATCAGGCATATAAAACAACGTCCTACAAAAGAGCTGAAGTAGAAAACAAGTAAAATCTACACTGGCACATACGCGCAATTTCCACGATTAAGTTAAGTTATCCTTATCAGCTAAAACCTCATTATTTTGTAAATAACACACCCCTATATTTTTCCTTCAACACACATTATGCCAAAACTTTTCATTATTATGTTAAAGAAGTTGTCCTTATCAAAATGCTATAGAAACTATTTTGCTACAGCTGTTGTAATAATTCAACTTTCTTATCTATTCCAATTTGCCATATCCTACACTGGCACATACATGCAAATTAAAATTAAGTTGCAACATGATGAAAAAGGAACACAGCTTACTCACGTTTTCCTTTGACCAGTGAGGCACTGGACTCAGGACTCTCACTGACTTTCAAGCAGATAGCTAATTCACGAATCAAAGACTTGATTTCCTTTTTCACATTTGCATTGCCTTCACCTTGGAAAGGAATTGCTTTGCTTTGAGGTTCCCAATAATAAGATTTTAACCAATCAAGTGCCTGAAAGTATCGGTAAGACTAGGGATAAGTTTAGGGTAGTGAGTAGATACTTGGTATAAAAGGAATAGCTGTATATATTCAGATGCCTCAAAAAACTGTATATATTCAGATCTTAGGAAGAAACAGATTATAATAAAATAGGTAAATTCACGATTGTTGGTGATTCCTATGTGTTCTTGTGAAACTTAAGTGCATATGCATAATCAGTCCAGTAAAATAAATTATATAATTGATTTTCAAAATCCTGCCTCAAAGTAAGAAAACATTATTATATTCTAATACTATGGATCTATTAAGAGCTATCTAAACCAAGGTTATCAAGATCGGGATCTTGCATAAGATCGGGAGGGAATAGTAAGATCACGAAACATAAGATTGTTACTAAGATGAGAAGATCATGTCCAAATATTTTTGTAAGATCGAGAGGGGGTAGCAAGATCTTAAAACATAAGATCGTAACAAAAATCTTAAGATATTACTAAAACAAATAATGATACTATATATTTGAATCTTTTTACATGATATTTTGGTAGGCAAGAGTGTTCTAGGGAAAATAGCTTCTCCCAAACCGTAATTGTTGTGCCTCGGCATCTTGTCATCCTTTTGGGCTTGTAATGATGGTGGCCAGAAAACGGCCGATGGTGGCCGGAACAGGCTACAACACAGGATTCTACTTAAGATCGGGATCGTTGGGCATGAGCGAGATTGCAAAACTGTAAGATTTTTAAGATCTAGATCGAGATCTTGACAACCTTGATCTTTACCAATACCAAGAGTGAAACTTTTTCCAAAAAAATAAGTGTTAAGCCAATAAGCTTAATGCAGTAGGGATGATAACTTCAATGCACAAGCTAATTCCAAATGCCTCTTTCTAACACAACATGCTCAAGTTGGCATCTTGAAAATGATAACAGAAACAATTACTCATCTAATTCTTAAATACAGCCCTCTAAATCCTAATGGAAAAAAAGAAGATGGCACGAAAGTCCTGTGACATGAAATGAGGTTTTCATGGACAAGAGGATATTATGTAAAGGATATACCATAGCCACCAAGGCCAAAAAATAAGGCATCATTCTTTAAAAGGTTGAAGGGTAGAGAAGAGCTCTCAGCAAGTAATCTTCTCCAAAAGCAGCTTATCAGGTGATAATTACAAACTACCAAGCAAAAATAAACTTCACTACATACTCAGAGTGTTGTGTTAAAGACAGACCTCGGAAGAGAAATTTTGGACCAATACGTAACCAAAATCATGGACCACACACACTTGCCTAGAATTTCATACCAAAGAAGTAAATAGATTGTCAAAACATACGATTAAATAAACCAAAATGACTCATACCTTAATGGAGGCACTACGAACAACCTTGAGCGATGGAAGCTCACGATGCGATCCCTCTGAAATAACAGCAATAAGTCAAATTAAAAAGCAGGGCTTTAACATACTGAACAAATTTTTTTCAGCATTTACAAAGATTGCGATTGCAATTAGCACAATTCAGACTAAACAAAAATAAATAAGAGTTATAGGATATATCTAGTTTAGATTACCATTTAGCCTACAAGAGCAACTAAAATAAATGAATGGTTCTTTACATACGAAAAAGTCCATACAAAATTACAGATGCTAATGGAGAAAGGTTCTTTACATACAAAAAGATCCATACAAAACTTCAGATACTAATGGAGAAATTAAACATGAGTCATTATGGAAAAGTTTGATGTGCCAAAGCTTATTTTAACTTATACTGAGTTATTGTTTAAAGAGCTCATTATTATTAAAACTCTTAATGTTTCGTCTCACACCTATTATCTATTATAATTTGTTAAAACAGTCCCTGAGACATTATACAGACACCTCATACACCATTTACCACATCACTTTAATATTTGAGGTGGCCGCCTCTAAAACAATTGCATCATGCCTAACCATTCCCATATTGATCTTATATACATCTAGACTAAATCTTCAAACTATCATTTGACTTTCTTTTAATAATATGCATGCATACTTTTTTTTCCTCCAAAATATATTTACATACATTATGAGTTATTCAAGCTACTTATTGATATATATTATCCATTATAATTTATTAACATATTTTCATATGTTATTCTTCTTCACAAACTAATATCACTCTAGCAATTGTTGCCTACCAAATTTCTAGACTACTATTTTGCTCGACGTTCGACACTACTTTTCGTTCTTTTTTTTTTTGTTATTACATTTCAATTTCTACATGCAGCACAATAAAAGGTTTTCACACCAGATTCAAATATTCTAGACTACTATGTTATTCTTCTTCACAAACTAATATCACTCTAGCAATTGTTGCCTACCAAATTTCTAGACTACTATTTTGCTAAACGTTCGACACTACTTTTCATTCTTTTTTTTGTTATTACATTTCAATTTCTACATGCAGCACAATAAAAGGTTTTCACACCAGATTCAAATATTCTCCAGTTTTTAACCATCCAATCCAACTCTCGATTTGTATCATTCAACAGCAAAATCGTGAATTCAGCCTGTAGTGACAGTGGCATCACCTGTTAAGG